ATTAATTTAATTAGAAAAATAATCATTCATTTATTTTTATGTATTAGGTGTGTCCATTAGTAAGCAATATGCATATATGTTTATACCTCATCTCTCAAGTGAATACATATAATAGCGCAGGTAACTTAACGATTATTTAAGGCATGCCTAAAATAATCGTTAAGTTACCTGCTATATAGCAGTTATATAACAACGCAGGTAGTCACATGAGAGATATAAGGTATAAACTTAAAGCACCGCAGTCTGTTTCTACCGACATAATCTAATATTTAAGTTTGGTGATATCACAACAATGCTCATAGTTGCTGTAGTGCATAGTTGTTGAAAGTGTAGTGCTGCATAGTTGTTGAAACGAAAAAGTGTTTATATATACAACAATGGAAAAATCTGCTGAATTGATTATTAAAAGGGTGCAATGTAGTGCCAACATAAACAATCCCAATTGCAGCCGCAATAATTTACGTAATTTATCATCAAGTCTCATAGAGAAAATACATTCATGGGGCTTTGATCATCAATTGGATGTAACAATGCGTATTTGTGAATCGTGTCGTGGAATTTTAGTGTACAATAGGACACCTCTCCCGAAAAAGAGGCGATCGGATGGAAAAGAATCAAGCCATGCTCGGAAGTTTGAAGAGCCGCAACCATCAACAAGTCATCAGCAATCAGAACATCAGGAATTTGATGATACACTAGGTAAATAATAATAACTTTAACTGTTTCAACTGTGTGGTTTAAGGATTGTACATCGAAGATACAACTTCATTTTCAACATTTTTTTTAGAGCACGAGCTGGATGAACCGCTTATCGTACAAATTTGATCGATTGTTTTATTTCAACAGTGGTTGACTACCGACCGTTGTAATTTGGAAACTATTATTAAACCTGCAGATGAGTTTGTTCAATATTTGACGGAAAAAGTTGAAAAGCTCATAACCCATGATTTTATTCATAAAGAGCAATCATCTTACGTAAGTAATAAAAAAAATTCTCTTCAAAACGGTGAAATTTTAGTGATTTGCGACTTTTCTGAAAATTATTCATTTATTATTCAAAACTCAGCACAGGGGTATCATTGGAACAATAATCAAGCTACGATACATCCTTTCGAAATTTACTACATAAAAGAAAACAAGTTGGAAAATTTAAGCTTTATTATTATTTCAGAAGTATTGACCCATGATACAATAGCAGTTCAATTATTTATATCAAAATTGTTAGATTTCATTAAACAATCTATTAGTTTCACAAAAATTACTTTCATGTCAGATGGAGCAGCGGCTCATTACAAAAATAAAAAGAATTTTGCCAGTTTGTGCAACTTCAAGTCCAAGTATGGATTGGAAGCAGAATGGCACTTCTTCGCAACGTCTCATGGGAAAGGCCCATGTGACGCAATTGGAGGAACTCTCAAACGAATGGCAAAGAGAGCAAGTCTTGCTCGAGATTATGGAAACACAATCACAACTCCACAAGAACTGTATGACTGGGCAGTTAAACAAACAGATACAAGCATAACAAAATTGAACTTCTGCTTCATATCAAATGATCAATACACAAAGATGTCCGATGAACTCAAGGAGCTGTTCAGTCATGTAAAAACTATACCTGGTACACAAAAATTTCATTGTTTTGTACCTATTTCTCAAAACATAATTTCTACTAAGCGATTTTCACATTCAAAGGAAACTCCGAAAAATTTCACTCTGTTTCCGATAGACTAATAATCAATGAAAAACTCAAATTATGTATGGAGAATTATAGGAAAATAAATTATGCACTAAACAAAAACACTAGAGTTTTCATTTATTAAAACACCATTCGAAATGCAGGAAAATCCTCTGTATTAGGCCCTTTCAAATGTTAGGCTAGATTTTTGTTTTAAGCACGCCCAGATTATCAAAAGGTCAAAATCTTTATGCTCATTAAGTTTCAACGGATTTTAATAAGGTTGTGCGCGTATTACTATTCGACTTTGAGTGAAACACGCTAAAAAAAAATTAACATGAAAAAGTTGTTGTTCGAACAACTTTTTTTCCTTAAAAGCGCCCACTTTGCGATGTATGAAGAAAAGTTAGGTAATTATATTGCCTTTCATGAGAAAAAATATCAAGCAAATCTGAGGGGTACCATTTTTGGGAAAATGACTTTTAATTTTTAAATATATTTTTTTAGAGTGTAGAAACCAATTTTTTAATTTATTTAAATTTTTTTATAAAATTTCAGATTATTTGCTAAAAGTTCGCCATACATCACTATTTTGTAGGGCTTGTCATTTTTAAGCTATATCGATTTGAAAAAAAAAATCGACAAAAAACTTTGACCCTTATCAAATGTTAGGCGAGATAAATTTTGAAAAAAATAAGTACTCAAAGTTGCTTAAAATTGCTAAGTCTCCACACCCACAAAGTTTCATAAGGTTCTGAGAGGGTGCTGCCAACTCCGAAGACGAGTTGGCGTGAAATCCGTCATCTGCGGAATACAAAAAAGTTGTTGAATATTACATCAAAACTGCTGCAATTAGTCATTCCGTTTCTAATATTACATTGAACGATGTACACAAAATTCGAGAACAAATCATGTTGATTCATCAATTTTTACCAGTTAGAACCGACATCACTGACTTCCATCTGTTTTGTTTTTATTCAACACAGCTGACGCGTTGACATAACAAGGGAAAAGCAACTCGTGAAAAAATTGCATTAACGAGGGATGTTCCGGTTGCAAAACAATGCTTGGGAATGTGGATGATAGATGGTGCTAGTGTGCATGCAAAATACGCTTGACGATATTTTTTGAAGAATTTTCTTCTAAGTGTTATGTCTGCTTGTCTGTGGTTTGAGTTTGAGGTTTCATCTTTTCCCGAGGGGGGCGACACATCTAAATCTCAAGTCTAGATGCTCAACAAATCTCACACTAGCGAATCAATCTTCGAAAAATCTTCTTTCATTTCTCGCATCTACTTGCATCACGCATCATCTTTTAGCAGGAAATCTTCAGAATCGTCATCAATCTTCTTTCTATCTACTCAGAGTGCGTGCAGCTAGCCACAGCAAAATACAATCTTTTCTGCATCGTAGATAGAGTCGCCCCCCTCGTCTTTTCCAGATAATGGCGAAACAAGACTTAAGCGATACAAAATATTTCGCCGCGAAAAAAACTTTGGTAAGTTGGAAGATCGCCAAATTTGCATTTCGTGGATTTGTATCACTCAAGACGCTGTGAAAGGAATGGACCAGAATGCTTCTGTTTTTTGGAACAATGTTTTCCAGAATGTCAAAACAACAACTCCTTCGTTATCCACAAGAACATCAGAAGCCCTCCGTCAAAGGTTTGGTACCATCAGTCGGAGCGTCACGAAATTTGTTGGATGCGTAAAATCTGCTCAACGCCTGAATAAAAGTGGCTTGTTGTCCGCAGATAAGGTAAACATGGCGTTGGAACTCTTTAAGACGGATCGTAAGGAGGAATTCAAATTCTTGGAGTGCTACGAGGTACTGAAGCAGTGTCCGAAGTTCAACATGAACCCTTCCAAATAAGATGCACAGCAGGTACAGAAGACACCAGGCAATGAAGAAAGCTTTCCAGGCAAGTTTTCAATACGGTAAAATATTCTGTGCATAATAGTACGTTCAGACTACAGAGTTATACATGTTATAGCGCTATCTTGATGGTGGTTTCTGTGTTGCAATTATTTGACAACCGTTATAACATGTTATAACTCTCCAGTATGGACAGCGTTTAATACATGAAAACAAACTCCATCGTATCTTCAAAATCACCAGTAACAAATTCGTAAACACCCACACCCACACCCACATATTCTAACCTCTTGGTTTATAACAACATTTAGAACTGCTGTTGAAGTGATGGTGTGCTAGTTATATATTTCCCCATAAGAAAAATTTATAACTGACATAAACAATATAACGAGAACTATAACGCTGCTGGAGATGTTCTGATATTGATATAGATAAAGCGAAACATAGCACACTGCCACACTGCATATAATCAACCAGTAGAAACTAACGATTTTAAATTGGCTCACCACTTGACTAGCCTTTTGGTCCCAAGCAAGTCGATTAACGTACCCCATTCTAGTCAAAATTCTAGTACTACACAATGTTTGTTTTGATTCGCTATGAAAGTTTGACAGATAAAATGAGGGGTTAGTTGATTTTCCTATGTTTCGAGGGGTGAATCGATTAGCTTGGGACCGAAGATAGTACCAGAGCTGAGCCAAAAAGTTGAGCACGTTTCTTCTGGACCTACTAGTCTTAGAGTTACCTCTATGATATAATCCCACACACTTAGAAATTATTGCCAACTTCGATAATTTTTTACCTCATTTCAAAGCTGTTTCACTAAATTTTAATTCCAAAACACTGTCAACTTTGTTTAAATAATCGAGTCCTGTCATTGCGGTGAAGTTTTCCTAGTTTTGAAGCTTAAAATACCTGAATTTACCGAACAGTTCAGCTGTTGAAAGCTCGTTAAAAATTACCGAAGTCGGTAGTCATTTCTAAGTGTGCATATCAGTCCCATATGGAAAAAAGTAGGCATTGAAAAAATGGCAGTTGAAGCTACGGACATATTAACTTTTAAAAGTATAGTAAATTAATTGATATTTTTTTCAAGTTAAAGTTTGCATGTTTTGTTGTATCAGCTAAAAATATCGCGGTCCTAAAAGCAGAACTGTAACTTGACCTCTGAATGATCGAATTTCAGGATAGAACTGATACGCAATTACTTTGGTGAAGACAAACTGATTTTGTTTATACATTTCTCATTATCAAAGTCCGTAGTTTTATCAAATAATAAGAAAGTAGACGCCAATTGATAGTGGATAACGTTGTTATCTTAAAATTAACGAAAATCCGTATGGGACTGATGTGCGATAATAGGAAGTACAGTCATTGTTAAAATATATTGTTTTTCATCATAGTTAGCTCTGCCTTAGAGAGGGTCCAGTTATACTAGACCCGCTCTACTTTGCCTCACTCATTTCAAAACAATCATCGTTCCAAACAAAACCACTCGTAATGCCTTCAAAATCAAGCGTCGGTGCTTTGAAACTATGCAAACGAACGTACTACTTGCAGAATGGAACCGTTCCGACTCAATCGACTATGCGCCAAGAGCTAGGCTCGGAGATGGCCAACGTCATTCTGGAGTGTATGAGTCCGGCATGTCAAGCATGGATGGGAGTTGATCGTAGGCTTCGAGGTCCTTCCGAGTACTGCATGGCTCCGGATGAACTCAAATCCAACATTCACGAGCATATTTTGAACATTGGTCGACAGGCAGAAGACCGACTGGACCGCAGACGCAGGCGAATGGTTAAAAAGAAAAACATTGACATTGAGGAGCTGGAATTTGTGAAGTTTGAATGCCGGCAAAAGATTGAAATTGCTCGTGATGAGGAGCGTAAAATAATGGAACAGCAATTGTTTGATGCCCAAGCTGAAATGGGCGACAAATTTCAAACGATGAAGAAAGAACTTGAAGAGGATTTTTGTCGAGAGAGACGGGAAATGTCAAAGATTATGTGTAGAAATTTAAGGAGTCAAGCGCGTGAATTAATTGTAAAGATTGCCAAGCAGTATAGAGAAAAAATTGAGAATGAAGTAACGGAAAGAGTGGACAAAGCAATTCTAAAGATTCACGATCAGCTTGATGTGGTTGTTCGAACAGCAGTGCAGTAAGTACAAATTTGGGAACATCGGAAATACGAATATCTTACTCGAGATTATTTTATTAGAAAACAGAAAGACGTCGATCTAAAGGAAATGCGGAAAATGAGTTACCGCTACGAGGAACTGCTGAAAAATGTTCAACATCGTGAAGCTTGCCGTCAGTTGACAACCCTTGCTCAGCAAATATGTTCTAAGTGGATTGAGACTTCCAAGCATGCATTTAATCCAGAAATATCCTGTCAAACATCTTTGGTCATGCCGGAAGTAGAACACAACGTTGAATCTAATGCCATCGATGACAGTGAAGGATTCGTGGAATCAAGCAGTTTTCTGGAAACTGATGATATGTTTGTGATCGAAGCTTGCTTTATGATGCCAGGGCCAAGTCCCGTTTACAGTTTAGCTGTCAGTGGCTCTGAATATGAATCGGAGACATCTTCTTCCACTCTGGAAGCGATCACCTTTGAAGGAAATGTCTATGCTCAGCCAGAAGTAAGTTTGAAATTTATTTATCATGGAATTATTTTATATTTCAATTTCATTCTACAGTACTACCGAAAATTTCACGAGAAATTGTTTCCCACTCCTATGCTCAAGTGGGAGTCAATAAAGTTAGATGAGCAGTTCACATCTACAGTGGAGGAATTGACTCCGATTGATTCGGATTTTACCAGAGAAGTGACAAATCAAATACTAGCGAATCAAGATTTAGAGGAGAAAGAAATCGTGCTGGCTACTTTAGATTTGGAGGTGCTGCCTTCCAGTCAAAGGTACTTTCTGTATTATTCGCTTTAAGCTATGTCAATTAATCTGGCATGACAAACATTTTATAGCACTCAATTGAAATCGTCGGGAACAACTATTTCCGGATTGTTTGACTTGGAAAAATCGGAGACAGAAATTGCAATTTTGGCGAATGGAATTGCTCTCAAGTATATACGAGCAACTGAGAAAGATTTCGATTGACAGTCACATTCATTTTAGACCGGAATTAAAAATTGGACGCCGTTAAAGAGAACTTAATTTTAATAATCAACCCTTCGTCTGTGTCGAAAAAACTTACGTTGTTTGTGCCCTAGGGTCAATTTGACCCCAAATTTAAATTACCGTATCGCTGCGATGTTTCAATGGATTTTTGAAATTTCAAATGTTTTGCAAAGTAAATTTAGAGCCCTTTTAGTTAAAGCTATTCATAAATTGAGAGTGGATTTCTCGTGGGGGAGTGGTCATTGTAAAAATGTGTTCATGAAATGCGATACTTCGATGTTGGAGATGCTTATACCACGCGATCCTCATCATGTAGGATATTACTTCCTTCAGCAAAGATGTTCAGGCATCTTCTGCTTTGGCTTTATTACGTCCCTACTGGGACTTGACGGTGGCTTTCAACGTAGTGTTTCTGGAGCACTTCCACAGTTGTTAATTGAGAGCTTTCTAAGCCTATTGGAGAAAGTAAGGAAGGGCTGAACCAGAAAAAGTCACACGAAACGAGTCTGTGGGGGTAAAACTCTTTTTACCCTCGCTGAAAGATACTGAGCCCAGGTTTTGGACATCCACTATCATCACCTGGGGAAGCAAAGGGTTCTTTAAACGGCCAACCGCCTGCTTCTCCAAGATCTCGGGGGTCAGCCTCAGGTCGGTGGCAATACCTTCGAGCGTAAAGAGCTGGAAGGCAGCAATCACGTTAGCTTACTTCAGGTTAGAAACGACCACCCGAAGTTTATTGTGCCTAGCCTACGTGATTTGGATCACGGCCGAGTATCGCTTCGTCAGATCATTAGTAATTTGCATTACATACAAAGATTTGATTTTGGGCTGATAGTAGACAACCCATGGGCCAGTCAAGCCATCTGGATAGGCTCGCGATCGGAGGCTTTTCTGAGCCTGTCCTTTCCCAGACTGAGCGTGGCAAAGTGGTGTCATCTTCCGACAAAACGTCCATATCGTCTTCCGATAAAATGTCAACGCAAAACGCTCTACAACTGAAACGATATTAAAAATCATTAAAAAAATTATTATTTAAAAAAAAAAAATTTCATAAAAATATTAAAAAACACATTTCTATTGCGGTCAACCCAGTGGCCCTCAATATGATCGTCCTTGCTTCTATGAGAATTTTCCCGGTGACTTTTTTTTAACCTGAATAGACGAGTGCACGGATGGGTTTGAGTTCACTCACTCGACAAAAAGTGGCACAACAGCGGGGCCCTGTTTACTAAACACATGAATAATACTAGCGTAAGGCTTGAAACGGGCCTATCAACTTTTGTACACAAAACTTGTTTAGCACTTTTCGCGTGAACCGAATACGTCCACGCAAACTAACAGCACCATCGGTTAGGGTAAATTCTCCCCTCCCGATAGTGCTCTTGGTTTGCGTGGGCGTACTTTGGTTCTCGTGGAAATAACCTAGCAAGTTGTTTACAAAAGTTGATAGGCCCTTTCCAAATTTTACGCGAGCATTACTCATGTGTTCATTTTTAGTATACCCCGCTGTTGTGCCACTTTTTGTCGAGTGAGTGAACTCAAACCCATCCGTGCACTCGTCTATAAGCATCGAAAGCGAATTATTCCCCCTTCTCTCAATTTTTTATATGGAGATTTTTATTACTTCCTACCAGCGGAACAGCACCATCTCTGGGGAAAATGGTCAGACGATATGATTCATTAAGCAGCAAACAAATAAATAAATGAAATAATTAGGCAAAACATGTTAAAAAGATCATATTAACCCAACGCAAACAATGACTTTACTTTCAAACCCCCATCGTCTGTTACTGAAAAATGCAAAAACTTTCATAATTCCGTAAATTTTGGACAGATTTTTTTATCTATTGCAAAAGAACTGCAAACTTCTCAAATTTTTATGTGCATGTCAGGATCGTGACGTAGAGCCACGCAAAATTGATGTAACGGGTGTTCAATAAAAAATGAGAATTTTTTCAGTCATATAGCTAGTAAATTTTTTTTTTCAACGAGTTCAGTATTTTTTTATTAAAAATATAATGTTTATTCTTCAAAAAAAACGTCAATGAATATTGGAGAAGGGGCCCTGGTCTGCCGTACGACGCAACTTAGTCGCGATGCTCTCACAAGAGCGCTGGACGGCACTGAAATCATTCTCCTTTTTTATTGAACACCCGTTATGTCATGCATTTTTGACTATTATACTTTATCTTAAATTTTCCAAATATTTCAATGTTTCGGTTTGCATATATAACTTTTCCGCGTTTCATTTTAGTTAAACGGTAACCAAGTCTCATTCCAGCCCATCGCTGGTTTACCCGCTGGCTTGTTCCTGCTTGCTGCAGGACCAAGTGCCACGCCGTTCGAAGTGGTAATGAGCAGAGGCGTAGTAGTAAAATTTACGTTTATTTTCTGAGTTTTTATGTTTCAACATTTGATTTAACATTTCAGTTGGTTAGCCTTTGGCTCTTCATCTTTGTTCTAGTTAATTGGTTATTCTAATGTGATGATTGCGTTTAGCGCTAATTTACAGGATACCCTTTGTGGGATTGTTTTGGTTTGAAATTAAAAATTTGATAACCTACCTACTTGAGCACCTAACTACTTAAACTAGGTTGCCAAATCACGAATGATCTGGTGGTTTGATCGCAGACAGGCGACCCTGAACCTTTCCAGCGTGGAAGTCTTTCGCTCCTCGAGTGTTTGAAGACCGGCCAGGTGGTGAATCTCAGAATTACGAGTTCGCGGTGGACTGTTAAGGATCATTCTGAGGATCTTGTTTTGGATCCTCTGAAGCTTTAAGCGGTGGCACTTAGCACAACTCTCCCAGATTGGCATACCATACTCAATAGCCGGCAGAATAATTTGCTTGTGGACAGCAAGCTTGTTTTTAAGGGACAGGGTGGACTTCCTGTTTATCAGAGGGTAGAGCGACCTGATCAAGATGTTACACTTGGTGGATGTCTTGTCCACATGGGATCGGAATAGCAATTTGCTATCGAGGGTGAGACCAAGGTAGACTACTTCACTTGACCATTCAATGGGAGTGCTATCAAGATGGATCTTGACGTTAGCAGGCGGAACAAGCCGAGGTGAATACGAATGTGGAAACAGAATGGTTTGTGTTTTAGCTGCATTGATACAAATCTTCCAGCTCTTAAAATAGTCGGACAAAACATCCAGGCCTGATTGTAGTTTATTCGCCAGAGCACGGATCACTCGACCCTTATAGATGATGGAGGTGTCATCTGCGAACATAGACAGGATACCACCACCCGGCAGGGGAGGAACGTCTGACGAGAAAATGTTGAATAGGATAGGCCCAAGCAGGCTGCCTTGAGGGACCCCTGCATCAACGTTGAACGTATCAGAGGGGACATTGTTCAAGTAGACCTGGAATGATCTGCCCGACAAGTAGTTTTTGATGATCTTCACGAGGTAGATCGGAAAGTTGTATCGATGCAGCTTGTACACTAGACCATCATGCCAGACATTGTCGAATGCCTTCTCGACGTCCAACAATGCCATGGCAGATGTATTGGAAACGGACTTGTTCCGCTTGATGATGTTAGTAACCCATGCGAGTTGGTGGATGGTAGAGTGGCCTTTCCTAAACCCGAATTGCTCTTTGAGAAAGATGTTATTTTCATTTGAAAACACCAGCAGACGGCTGAGTATCAATTTTTCGAATAGCTTCGAGATGGAGGACAAGAGGCTGATGGGGCGATAGCTTTTGGCACTGGTAGGATCTTTGCCAGGCTTGTGTATTGGAATCACTTTGGCTAACTTCCAGCATGCAGGGAAGTAGCCAAGCTCCAAACATTTGTTGAAGATAACGGTAAGATGGTTGAAGAAGTCAATACTCAAGTTTTTCAACTCGAGGTTGACTACACCATCCACACCCGCAGCCTTCATGTTTTTAGTACTTCTAATAGCTGCTATTACCTCATCAGCCGATATTCTACTATGATCATGCACTACTACGGGGGTGTCAGCGACTCTAGTCATTGCCTCCATTACGGCAGGCCCATGGGGGCTCACCATGGTTTGACCAAGATTATGTGAAATCACAAAATGTTGGCCAAGAGCATTGGCCTTTTCAACTGGGGTTATCAGTAGGGATGGGTCTAAGTGGTCAACAGAGGAAAGCGGAGGGATCGGTCTCGACTTATGTTTCAATATTTTGGTCATCTTCCAAAATGGTTTGCATAATCTGGGAGAGAGCGTATCTTTTTGGTAAAATCGTTATTTCTGAGTTCTACCATCCTGGCCTGGATAATTTTGGTTAGTCTATTGACATTGGTCTTCAAGTGGGGCAGCCCAGAACGCTGGAACTGCCTACGGATGGTGTTACGGAGCCTGATAAGATCTTTGGTTGGGCTGTCAAGGTTCAGAGTATGACTCACCTGTCTGGATGCTGGTACGTGCTGCTCCTTGGCACGGGATATCGCCTCTTCGATGGCTTGCAGACACTGATCGACTTCTTCGTACGACTCCGATAGGACGTCGTAATCGATTGCTGTGTCCACACAGCGCTGATACCATAGAGGTAACTCTAAGACCACTGGGTCCCGAAGAAAATCATTATTATTTTTGGCTCACTCAGTACCAGAACAACGGTCCCAAGCAGTCCCAAGCTATTTCACTCACCCCTGCATGTTCTGCATGAATCCACACACCCCTGATGTTATCTGTCAAACTTTCATAGCGAATCAAAACAAACATAGTGTAGTGATAGAATTTCAACTAGAATAGGGTACGTTAATTGTTTGCTTGGGACCAATAGGCTACTAAAGTGGTGAGCCAATTTAAAATCGTTAGTTTCGTAT